TGGCGGGGTCGCATCTCCCGCTCTTGGGGGGTGGGCGCCGTCGAGGACGCTGCCATGAGGGATACTTGTCAGAAAGGCGTGTTTGAGGAACAGACCCTCAGCTGAACTGGATGTGTGTGTGTGTGTGGAGGGAGGGTGCGTAGCCCAAGCTGTGCCTTTTATCTTGGCGCCTTTCGTGTACTCTGCCCCTTTGGCATATTGCACGCGCAGACAGACCGCCCCCCCCCCTCCGCGTGGGCCTTGGACCCGTTTTCCGGTTGGGGCCAGCCAACCGAAGGCAGAAAGCAAACTTTGAAATAGCGCTAGAAAGTGGGGTGGGAAAGAGTTCTCTCTCTAACTAAATAAGTTCATTTCAGCTGGTAAATAGTGAAGTGAGTACTTTTGGACTGGGGAGGTAAATTTTGTTTCCCAGTTCAAAGACTTCTGTGCCCCGTTCTTATAAACGTAGTTATTTTCCTACCTAAGGCATTTTTTCCCCTCCAAGTTCAGTATTTTTTTTTTTAAATGCAGACCTATGACACTATCAAAAGAGCTTAGGCTGGCTCTTGCCCTTTTGTAGGCGTGTTCGCATTCTGCACACACCCCTCCATAGGGTACTTCTTTCCAGATGTAAAAATAAAAGTGTGTCTGCTCCATGCTGCAGTTGTGTCCATGATGCAAGTGCAAATATTACAAGGTTGGGTTTTTATTTTTAATCTAAAATTATAGAATTTTAGATTAAAAATAAAAACCCAACCTTGTAATATTTGCACTTGTATCATGGACACAACTGCAGCATGGAGCAGACACACTTTTATTTTTACATCTGGAAAGAAGTACTCCTTGTTCAGGAGCAAGAAGTGAGTTTCGAGCATAGGTGTAGGTGTTTATGTGAGGCTATCATTGGGTCTTGCTTGGCTAGTGCTTTTAGAGCTGCAAATTACAATTACAATTGCAAATTGATTACAGGAAAACATTTTGACAATACAGTATTGCTGGAGGTAAAGCATTAACAAATCTCAACAATTCTGATATGTTATTGTGGGAACTAGGAAATAAAAGCAAGATACGTTTAAATTTGGCAGTTAAAACCATTTTTGCTATATTTAATTCTTGAATACTGCTGTAAAACTTGTGGCTATTAGTGGAAGAGACCCTTGTTCTCTTGGTCTATAGGCCTAAAATTAATAGAATTACCAGTACATGTTTACAATAATTAAGATTTCCAAACCATGTGTGAAATAAAATATGTTCTTTAATTACATGGATCTATTGTTTAGAATTGTAGTTAGTGATGCTTTTACAGCCTCTATACTACTACGTTGCTTACTATTCTCCACTGAGATTGAGAAAATGGTTGAAGTGAATAAACTTCAGTTAATATACTGATATTAGCAAAACTGAAGTATTACAACAAATATACATATACACATATACATACATCAGCCTCAGTTTGGTGTAGTGAAAGCATACTGGATATTGAAAGTATTTATTGTCACTTGACTGCAGTTAATATTGACTATTTATTGCACATGAACAAACGGAAAGTTATGTAAAATGGAAACAAATGTTTCTAATTTCTCTCAGCTATGCTGAAGGAAAGACAAGAGCATAAGATTTGCTTGCATGTTTTTCTATTGTTGATTGTGGACAAAATTCCTATTCCTATTTCATTTCAAAACAGTTCACGCACGCCAGATTGTATTCTCTGAGTTCATGTGATCGTTTTCCAATAATTGGTTATTTTAATCAGTTTCTTCAGAACTGGATCAAGTTCTTTGAAGTATGTCATTTATTTTTCAGTGCTCAGCATTCTAGCAGGAAAGGAAAAAATGACTTAAGTCTACATTTTTTTTTTAAATTAATCACAAGGCATTGATGTTGACTAATGCTGTTACTTCATCTGTTGCTGTACAGCTCTCCCCTTCTGAAGTAGTTATATATATAAATAAGAAAATTTGAAATTCTTTCAGTGAGAATTTTCAGAGCAGTAGTGAGATTGAATTTCCTTTTGTTTTTTTTCCTTTCATTTTTGAGACTTGTTATTATTTACAGAAGAAACAGTTTGGAATACTCAGTTATTCTATCTTGTAACTGTTGACTTCTGTTTTGCAGCTAAAAATTTTTACCCTGTTGATTGGACTCTTGCTTTTTTTCTACCTTCAGTCAAATGTCCAAACATCCAAATGTGTAATATTTTAAAAAGAGAAAAGAAACCAATAAAATTTAAAGTATTTATTGTTCAGTAGTTGTGTGTGGCTTAATATGAAATATCCTTATGTATACATATGGAAGGGGGAAATGCCTTTAAGGAGGAAATTATTTTTCATTTTTACCAGCATTTATTGAAAATTCATAGTAACACTATGTTTTGCATCTATCATGTCTATTAAATAAAACTTTTTCTATTTTTTTTCTAAAAAATGCCTGTGAGGAAGGAATTTGTAGTTATTATTATATGCAGCAGTTCATTAGATAAACAGTTCAAACTGGGCATGAGAGTGAAGGTGGAAGAAACTAGTGCTGAAATCTTTAGTGTTGAGCTCTGTATACATATATACATACAGAGAGATGTATATATGCACCAAAGATATATATCTACATCTATATATCTATGTCTAATCTATACCTATCTATCTACCTATCTATATTTCTGTGCACTCATTTATCAATTTGTGGGAATGCAATTAGAATTGACTTGGAACAGAAGCCAAAGTTTGAGATGCATTTTATGCCCGTGTGCATTCTTGTTTCAGTCCTATTGAGCTGAAAACTATTTTGTTATAAACAATGAGTTGCTTAAATTTTTAAACAAAGCTTTTAAAAATACTCATTCTTTTTTAAAAAAATATTAAACATAACAAATTATCTTAATCATAAAAATGTAATACTTAAATTGTGCAATACTTAAAGAAATATTTTTTATTTCCAAAGACATGACTTTTTAATTAAAAAAAAAAGATTTGAAGTGTATTGCTATTTTTGATGCTTTACAAGATTCAGCTCTGGTATCACTTTGAACTATATTTCTACTGTGGTGCAATGTGAATTTCCTTTGCCAGCTGTTGAAAGCTAAAGCTATTGAAGATTTTCCATTGAAACAATAGTCCAATTAGTGCTGATTTCCGTATCTGGAATAGGCAACTACACAGTATTCAAAGGAAGTGAAGGGTCATTGTCTCTG